TGACTACATCTTTCCCAAGAAATGAGTTTAGTTTCATGTGCCCCAATATACTTTACACACACACACACACACACACACACACACACACACACACACACACTACAAGGGTTCTCCTGCTGGGTCTCAAAACATCCTGTAACTAAATGGTAGCTTAAGGAGGCTATACCAGTATACCAGTGACATTCAATTTGACCTTCAGAATGCAAATCACCAGGCATGATTTTTGAGATGCTTCTGGGTGGGTTCAAATTACAAACTGCCTGGCTAGTATTGGAGTATTTAATAGTGCTTATCACATATCTGTTGCAGTGGAATTATTCATGATTCATATGGACTCTATAGGTCAGCGTTAAACTGCCTCCTAGGGTTGTAAGTCTTTATGGACACAGCCTGTCACATCTTTCTACAATGGAAGTGTTGATGAGTATCAACTGCTGATTTTTTTGTTAGCAGTTGAGTGATTTTCGCTTTGTTCACTTTGTTACGTTACATATCCTAAAAGAGCTCTACATTTCCTACCACCAGTTGATTACAACTCATGCCGACTGTATAGGGCAGAATAGACCTGGCCCATGGGTTCCCAAGACTCTACCTGTTCACGGCATTACAAAGCTTCCTCTTTCTCCCAATGGAGGTAAAAGATCCAGCCATGAGTTTCCTTAATACTGGGTTTAAACATTTGTTTCTGCTTGGATTTGCCTTTTTCATTCATTAGCTCATTTAAGCCTCACATTAGCTCACAGAGAAAATTACTGCTTTCTCTTTTCATTGATATGAGGCTTGGAGCTGTGAGTCACATGCCTAACGTTCCTTAGAAGCAGATAGGAGAACTGGGATTTAGCTCAGATTTATCTGTTGGTGGAACTTTGATGCCATGGCTCTGAAATAATATGTTATACACTCAATTGTGTGCCCTTTATTGGCTCTATGTTCCAACTCATCTGAATCAGCTCTCTGTACTGACTACTTTTCTATAGCTTCAAAGCTAGGCTTCCCATAGGAGAACTAGACATTTTAATGTAGCTTTAGTGGAGACTTAGATGAGCGTGTTTATTATAGATCAAATCATCCTTAACTTTGTATTGTTCTATAAGGTTGGTAAAGGTTGCTGTTGATAGCTGTCTTCGAGTCCATTCTAAATCTTCGCACCCCCACAGACCACACAGGCACCACTGCCCAGTTCTGGGCCACCCTCACGATCCCTGCTATGTTTGAGCCCGCTGTGGCAGCCTCTGTGTCAATCTATCTCTTTGAGGGGTGTTTTGTTTTTTTTAGGATAATTTTAAGGCTCTTTAAAATGAAAAGAAAAAATTAGATTTGTCCCCTATGTGCATGTGCTTGTGCAAAGGGCACTACTAACTTATTAAACACATTAAATATAAGGAACACAACTTTTTCCAGGTGGTGAAACTTTATTCATTAACTATAAACTTTATATGCATTTGTTTCTTCACAGATTTCTGAACAATAAATATTACAACACACAATGTAATGACTTTGCACAACACTTTGGGGCTTGATTTTCCATTCCTGCTTGGCCCAAAGACTGTTATTAAAATTGCATTACTCTTCATGGTCAGTATTATGCCTCACTTTCTTAACTTTTGGCACACTAGCAATGCCAGCTGGGAATGCAGATTGTTCTTGTTACCCGTCTAAGATCAGGTCCAATCGACAAACTTGTTTTCCACATGTATATCATGGTGTTGTGAACCAATTGCTATTAATGTCAAATAAACACGTGGAACACAGAGGTAAAAAAATGAAAATAAATGTCTAAGAAATTGTTGTAATTCCCCTGCCTTTATACTTGACATAATAAATGACCAGAAACTGTAATCAGACATTTTCTGAGGAAATTCTGCATTCAAATAACAATTGCATCCAAAGCTTGAACTGACTAATCTTATTTTTCATATTTACCCTGATTTTCCTTTCTTTCTGGGGTTTGGTACTAAATTTCTTCTAGTTCTCTGTGGTTTCTAAGGATGAAAGCCACTTTGAAGCTGGTCAGATTTGTCTATCAGAGGTTGGTTGGAAGTAATAAAGAATAGGTATTGAGCTGACTCAAAAACATCATTTTAATGAAGTTGGGAGATTGCATAACGCAGCAGTATTCTGAGCTGGGTAAAAAAGAAACAGATTTGAGAATGGATTCTACAGTAATCATGTTTGCTTTAATTTTCACCCCCAGTATACATTAGTTCAAAAGCAGTTTGTTCAGATGCGGTGTAATAAAAATGAAATGTATACATTTTTTTTCTTTGAAACCATGTAACTGGTTTTCTGTGTGTCAGTAAACAATCAAAATGATTCACATTTACTTTTAATATCAAAGAAGCAAATTCTTACAAACCCTGGTAAACATGGACACGTCGGCAGAGTTTTATTTAATATGCTTCCACTGAAATGGATTTCTTATATATGATTCTGCAATTCCTGGTGTCAACATTTGGACAAAAGGGCTAACATGGAATCTCCTTCCTATTGTAGTCTTGTTTTATTATGATGATAAATGTTCAAGCCTAAAAGGTATTCCGCTTCATAAGTCTTTGCTAAAGAGCCATGAGTACTGATGGAATGGATGATCTCAGTTTTTTTCTAGATGAGATGTTGCTTAGTTAAACAAAGTAACAATAAATCTACTCACAACAAAGCACAAAAAAGCAGATTAATATGCAATATTTTTCCTTACAAATGTTTCAGAAATTTATACTGAAATTCCCTAACATGTTTGAAGTTCTGAAGTCACGTTTTTCACATTCACTCTGGTAGAGGTTGACTACATTAAATTAAACTACATCGTTAAATATAAAGCTAAATATGGCCTCATGTGTTGAGAACATTCATTAACGCAAGTCCCCTAATCCTTTATAATTTTAATAAGAGAAGAGTGCCTGCTTTTAATTACCAGGCTTTTCCTTGATACTTCTATATTATATGATAAACATTTACAATTCTTAGGAATGAACATTTAAAAACATGGTTATATTACAACCATAAAATGCATTTTCTTAACTACAGGAGCTCTATTGATTGGCACAGGGTTTAAAGGGCTCAGCTGCTAGCAAAGAAGATTGGAGGTTCTAACCCACCAATTGCTCTGTGGGATAAAGACGTGGCGGTTGTCTTCTGTAAAGATAACGGCCTTGGAAACTCTATGGGCCAGTTCTATGACAGGAACTAGGTAGCTGTGAGTAGGAATCAACTCCCTGGTAGCTTTTTGCTGTTGTTAACTAAAGTATACACAGGCTTCACAGTCCTTATGGAGTGCTTGCGACAACCATGTGATAGCCATTTATTTTTTCAGCATTCAAGTTTAACTCATTGTAGTTCTTTCTTTGACTGAGATGATTGTATGTGTGTGAACTTGTGAGAACCAGACTATATTAATTGTTGTATCAGAACAAAAAAGGTTATGTACCTAGATCTTTAGGAGTCCTGATCGTGTAGTGGTTACACACTGGGCTGCTGCCATCAAGGTCATCAGGAAAGTTGAGACTTTCCGCTCCTGTGAAGACGAACAGTGTTGGAAATCCACAGGGGGCGTTCTCCCCTCTCCTTGTGAGTTGGAATGAACTCAATGGCAGTGAATGTGCCGATGTAGACCTTTGGCATTTTGTTACAATGGGATATTTCTGGTTTTTGCCTCCAGAGAAGGGGAAAGTTTCTACTATTAATTGTTTCATTAGTAGTAGATTAATTTGCCCTGAATAATTGTTTGTTTTATTTTAGAAAAAGTTTATTCATTTTAAACTTTGATAGAGGCAAAAATATTTCAAGACATGAAAGCAATTAGTTTTGAAAGTCTAACAATATTATAAAGAAGTTTCTACACATATATCTATATTCTACTTTCTTGAGCAGAATTGACAGTTACTTAATTCAAGGAAACATGATTTATAAACACAGAAGTCTGGAAGGTAAATGCCACACTATAGGTATAACTTTTTAATTTTAATGACACAAAAATATGTCTATACATTATTTCTTATAGTAAAATTGATACTTATTTAGAATGATTAGCTCTTCTTTTTCTTTCAAAGCTTGTCAATCAGCTAAATCAGTGGTTCTTAACCTTCTTAATGCCACGACCCTTTAATACAGTTCCTCATGTTGTGGTGACCCCCCCAACCATAAAATTATTTTTGTTGCTACTTCATCACTGTAATTTTCCTATTGTTATGAATCGGGCGACCCTTGTGAAAGGGTCGTTCGATCCCCAAAGGGGTCACGACCCACAGGTTGAGAACTGGTGAAAGCTGATGAAAAGAAAGTTCATTCTGTGGAAGGGGCTGTGTTACACTCATCCTCATGGGTACTGGTTTGCACTTCTCCAAATTATTGTCTAGATTTGTCTACCTTATAACCTGTCCATATTTTGCTTGATTTTCCCAGATCTACAGTAATGATTTGCAATCACATTTCTTTTTGTCACAATTACTACTCTTTTTCAAAGAGTTTGGAAGGGAAGATATTTTTCTAGAGTTTCTCTTTATCTTTACTTCTGTTTTTAACCAGGGCAGGGGATATCTTATTGACTTTAAAGTTGAAAAAGTCAATGTCTACCTTCAACTTTCTCCTCGGGTTAACAGAAGTGAAACACATTTTCCTTTGGAGCTGAAAGATGGCCCTGTCTACCTTCAATATCATAAATTGCTCTGTTCTGTTCTCATCTAAAGGCTGACAACCAGTCTCAAAGACAAATTCACTTCTTCAATAGGACTTGTAGTTTTTATAATGTAACTGTTCTTTAAAAATATTTATGAAAAATGAGGGAGTTCATGATTTAATTTTTCCTGTTTCATAGTTGTAGATGAATTAAGTTCCATTTTATAGGGATTTTATTTCTATTCACTCACAATGTTATATTATAGAGCATCTTTCTGTGTTTGAAAAAATGGTATCAATTGAATTACAGAAAGACATGCTGCAAATTTTAAAAGAGAAAAAAACTGGACACATGATTACTGCACATAGTAAAGTTTTCAACGGGCAGATACAATTTGAGGGAAGCAAATATTTTGATGGTATTGAAGCATATAGCTGCCTAAAGATTGCCCTTCTTTTCCCCAGGGGCCTATGTAGGGCAGGGCCAATCAGCAGGAGAAGGGGGATCTGGGGGGCACCATGATGCCCTCACACTATTCTTCACAGCAAGAACTGAGTTATGAATATTCATCCACAGATGTATAGGGCGAACTTATGAAGCTTGAGGTGGTGGAGGCCGATTTGGAGTTCCTGCGGGAGCAGCTGTTGGAGCTGGCATCTTTTGGCATCGCTCTCTTCTTCCGGCTGGATTTGCCGCTGTCTGCGTCGCTGGGGTCGAACACTACTGTCATCGACTCCATCCGGGTCACGGTGTAGAGGCTGCTCTGCCGAGTCGGGTGAAACCTGGTGGTCTTGAGCTCCAGCTCATCGTAGCTAGAAACTTGAACAAAGGGACACCAGCGAAAGGCTCTCTTGAAGCCAGCTCTGAATCTGAGGAACCACAAGGCAAAAAGGACATGTTTTCAAGTGGAAACTTCCTTCAGCTACCGTAGAAAGTGGGTGAAGGGAGACGTCGGACAGGGCAAGATATGACAAAATAATAATTTATAAACTATCAAGGGCTCTTGAGGGAGGGGGGAGCGGGGAGGGAGGGGAAAAATGAGGACCTAATGCCGGGGGTTTAAGTGGAGAGAAAATGTTTTCAGAATGATGAAGGCAATGAATGTACAAATGCGCTTTACACAATTGATGTATGTATGGACTGTGATAAGAGTTGTATGAGCCCCTAATAAAATGATTAAAAAAAAAAAGAAAACCCTGTTTAAGGCAATTTCCACCAGCTGTAGTTTTCCATTTTATTTTCTCATCAAATTCTTAGAAGTTATTCCACAATTTGGAATTAGTCTTTTAAGTTTTCTAAATTGAATAGAATCTTAATTTCTCATCAAGTGACTGAACAATAAAAACAAGCCTCAGGTAATCAATATGCCCAAGGAACAGTGCATGTTTCAACAGCGACTTTATACATTTTCATAAGTATAATTGAATTAGTCTTTCTGGTTAAGATCCTTACACTATGACATATTTCAAATAGCTTCTTTCAGAAATAATTACACATTTCTAAATTGATCTCATTTAATGTTAGCATTAATAAGTAATCTTGATTGTGCAAGTGTAAAGGCCTTGACTTTGCAGACTATTAAATGGAGTTGATTAAAAACAAATGTTGTGAGGTGGCTCAGAGTGAGATATGGCTTATGGAATTAATGAAAAAGAGTAAGAGTTGATTAAATATTTATTACACTTAAGGAAGCTCAACTGGGAAAAAGGTTTAGGACACAAGACATTCAGTTACTTAGATGAAGTTATATTTCCACTTGTACACAAACTGTGGCTGGTTTTTATTTAACAAAATTGGCAACCCTGTGAAGCAAACTCTGCCTTTTCATGTGCGGAGTATAATTTGTTATTTTCTGAAAACCACATTTTGCCTTTTATCTAATTCAGCTTTATACTCTGTCTTTTCTTTAAACATTACTTAAAATCAGCTTTCCCTTGACACCCCTAATTTCTTCAGAATCCTTCTCTATGGAGACTGCACCCTCTCTTACTTATCCCACCTCACTCTGCAGGGAGCAGGGGTGGAATTCCCCTTGCTCTTATGAAAATTTCTTACCTTCCACCTAGCAACACCTTCTATTTTGAAAACTGTTTTCAAAGCATCAGTTTGAAATGCGGGTCTGGTTACTTATGCCTCCTGAAACCCCCTGTGCACATCTAGACCATGTCTTCATTTCCTTGAGGAAGGAGCACCTTTCTATCTTATTTCTGTTAGTTACTAATGCATTTTTATTTAGTACAGCTCAGCACAGTTTCCAGGAATCATTTAGTATATATAAAAATGTCCCATTGTAACCTTTAAGAACATGGCTATGAGGGTGTAATTATTAAGGCAAAATATTTCTCAGTAGTAGGGGTCAAAAATAAATCAAGCTGTGTGCTCCTCTAGGTTAATGAAAAATGTACCCTCACTTTTGTGTTTTAATCTAGACCTTCCATGCAAAGGCAGGAGGGACAAGATCTTTGTATTTGGTAGTTTTGTATTTACCTCTTATTCAGACAGCAGTAGATGATTGGATTGTACATTGTTGAGCTCATTGCCAGCCAAAAACTAGCCAGGTAGACCTGCTGGATGTATTTCCACCGATTTAACTGTTGATAGATTGCAGTGAGGATGAAATAAATATGATAGGGTAGCCAACAGATGGCAAATATCACCACGACAATGATCATCATTTTTACAACCTAGGAAGAAAGAAAGAAAAGAGGCCATTCTTAGCAAATTTGAAAGTCATATAGGTATAAATGGTTCAATAGAATCTTGTCAGTCATATTTCCCTACTAGGAGATTTAAGTCAATTTTATGTCAAAGGAATAGTTAATCCATTAAAAATTAGTGAATGATGTAAGGACAAGTGCTAATGGTAAGTCTCAAAAGAGTAAACTTGGAACCAGAGGGAACCATCTTTGGAGGTCCCCAAGGGAGGTAGAGCATGGTGGAAAGATGAAGCAATGCACTGGAGGCTGGCAGGTACTGGCTGAAAGGGAGGATGGAGGTGCAGAGCTGGAGAATGGAAAGCAGGGGAGAAGCGTGGGATAGGATATGGTGCGAGGCGGTTGATGAGTGGGTTAAATGCTTGAGTGAAGAGCTAATGGTTTGAAATGCACCCTCCCGCCCCCACCACACACACCTAATTCAGAATAATAATTTAAAAAGTCATTTAAAAAAATTGTATGTTTGTAGCATCATTTGTCTTTATTCAACCTTGGGGAGTGGGCACTCACCAAACCTTGAGCTCTCACCAAATCATAAGCAAATATATTTCACCTAGCCTGAGGAAAATCAGTGTTTAACCAAACCCAAGTAACCATTGAGGCTCTATAAAACTGTATTAACCTGTAAAAACTGGGCTCAGTTGGTCCTTCAGTATGTCATAACCTGGTTATAAGTTAAGACTAATCAGAATTCTTTACTCTGATAGCATTTTCACAGGGTGACTTCTGAATATTAGTTTCTCTTGAAATCTGATAACTGGAAAAGATTTCTCTGGACAGTGATTATGCATACACACATTATTTATATTTGTAAGCAAGCAATTGGCTTATCCACCTGGATTACACACCAATTCTTGAGTTTGTTTAGAATGAGTGATTTCCTCGGATTACAGCCTTTGAATCATAAAATACAGGGAGATGCTGGCCAAAGGAGAATGTCAGCTTGTCTTCTTCGAGGAGCCCTGGTGGCTTAGTGGATTACAGTGGGGCTGCTATTGCAAGATCACCAGTTCAAAACCAGCAGTTTCTCCATGGGAGAAAGATGAGGATTTCTATACCCTCAAGATTGACAGTTTTGAAAACTCACAAAGACAGTCTACTCTGTCCGTAGGGGACTATGAGTCAGAATCAACTCAACAGCAGTGAGTTTCTGTCTCCTTCACTAGATCTTGAATCCTTACAAAGGAGGGAGGCTATCTTAACTCTTTGGATATGGTTGGCGACCAGCAGAGTCCATGGTGTACGGTATGGAAAATAAAATAAATGAATGAAGAATCACAATATCTAGTTTATAATAGAAGATTATAAACTAGGAATAAAGGGATGCTTTGTGTATCTGTGAATGAAATAAAATCTGTTCTGTTATCTGTGTTTATAAAATATAGTCAAAGCTGAACACGGAGCTTTTGTTTGTGTAAAAAAGGGACATGTTCTATACTTCATGTAATATTTAGCATCCAGCTACAAATTTATTCAAGCCTCTATTAGGCATTTAAAAATAGTGAAAGTTTTTAAATAATATTATGTTGAATAAATCATTTTCATACTTACCTGCAATCAGGTTAGAACACAAATAAGAGAAAGTCCTGACATAAATTACCTATGAGACATTTTGGAACTGTAAAAATACATAAAATATGTATTTCCATAAAAATATCCCAATTCTACCTTGCAAACCTGGTTAGACCAGAGGCTGCACAGCGGTACAGATGGGATCTGGAAACACAGGAATCCAGGACAGATGAACCCCTCAGGACCAGCGGTGAGAGTGGCGATACCGGGAGGGAAGGGGGGGTAGAAAGGGGGAACCGATCACAAGGATCTACATATAACCTCCTCTCTGGGGGATGGGCAACAGAAAAATGGGTGAAGGGAAACGCCAGGAAGTGTAAGATAATATAAAATAATCATTTATAAATTATTAAGGGTTCATGAGGGAGGAGGGAACGGGGAGGGAGGGGGAGGCAAAAAAGGAAAATGAGGAGCTGATTCCAGGAACCAAAGCGGAAAGCGAATTTTAAGAATGATGAGGGCAATGAATGTATAAGTGTGCTTTACACAATTGATGTATGTATGGATTGTGATAAGTTGTATGAGCCCCAATAAAATGATTTAAAAAAATACATATTTTATGTACTGAATTTGTCATTAGGCCATAGTTGAAGATTCAGATGAATGCTGGCAAGGTTATGAGTCAGGAAAGACATGGTTCTAGAAATAGACAAAGCATGAAATGAATCAATGTGGAAGGCAAGGGTTCCCTAAGGGCTTAGACCTATAACATTCAGGTGACCAGTACTGAACTCATGGAAAATTGACCAACAGAGCAAAACAATCCAGGTGAATAGCTAGCAGAATGTCATCTTTTAAAATGTCTGTTTTTTTTTTTTTTTAAAAAGCATATTCTTCTGCCAAAGAATGACACTGATATTGCTACATTTGTCTCTCAGAGTACTTCTTACTCATATATCTGTGGACTATGAGTACTGTCGACTCTGTTCCAATTCACGGCAAGCATCCGTGGCAGAGTAGAAGTAGTCTGTACAGTGTCTGAGTCTGATAATGCGTTTGAACAGCTGACCATGTCATTAACAGCCCAGTGTATCACCATCGTACCACCAGGATTACAAATCAGAATTACATGAATATTTTGAATTTATGTAATATAAAGTGACTTGTTCATGATCTTTCAGTAAAATAACTAAGAAGCTCAAGCAAGGACTGAAAATTTGAACACTCTAATTTATGAATCCAGTTAACGATCTTTACAACAGGCTTTTCTTTTTTGTTTTCAGTTAATATTTATTGGATGCCTATTGTGTCTAGATATTCATTGAATATCTATTGAGCCTAGTAGAAGCCCTGGTGGTATAGCGGGTCACAGGTTGGCCTGCAAACATCCAGGTCAGCAGTTTGAAACCAGCAGTTGTTCCTCAGAAGAAAGCCGAGTCTCTACTCTCGGAGCGCGGCAGTCTCAACCCCACAGGAACAGTTCTATTGATGGCAGTGAGGGTTTTTTAATTTGTTTGAGAGTACTGGGTCTAAAAAGTTTTCTGGAAAATAATGAATAGAGGTTTAATTCATAATTCTGAAGATATTTTGAACATAAAAAAACTAAAAATTATTGCTATATGTAGTCAGTATAATAAATATTTGCACATACAATTTAAAATATGATTGATGAAAACACACTCGTTTGAGGCAAGCAAGTGTTCTTCAGTCAGGGTTGTCAGACTGAGCACAATGGGATCTGCACACCTTGTCATCTCCCTCCTCAAAGACAGTCGGCCATCTCTGGTGCTGCTGCTGTGCCAGCGCTGGACTGCTAAATGGCCACTCAAACCCACCTCAGAAGCCCTCCTTCGGATTGATGTGAGATGAAATCCACTAGGTGGAGTGCTTTTATGTCAGGGTTTTCTCTCTTCTTCTAACTACCATCTCCATAAAGCCTCTTGCACAATTATCGCCTTTTCTGTGAATCCTGTTCTAACTAGCCTATTTAAAATTGGAATGTGTCCCTCTAATTTTCCTCAAATATCTTGTTTTGGATGGCTTCAAATTGACTTCAACTCATATCACCCTATGTTCCACAGAACAAAACAGTGCTCAGTCCTTGACCCTCCTCAAAATGGAGGCTGTGTTTGAGCCCATTGTTGCAGCCAGTGGGTTAATCTTGTTGAGCTTCTTCCTCTTTTGCATGGCCCTCTACTTAGGGGTTGATCTTTCCTGATAACGTGCTACATGGACATGAGATGAAGTCTTACTATCCATGGTACTCAGGAGCATTCTGGCTGTACATACCCTCAAGACAGATTTTTTGCTTCATGGCAACCCATGATGCTTTCAATATTCTTCTCCCGTAATTCAAACACAGCAATTATACTCCAGTCTTCTTTATTTTTGAGCAACTTTCACAGCATATAATGCTATTATACATAGTTCTCACTATGTATAACAGGAGGGTAACTAAGGGGATGTTTTGTGTGTCTGTGATTGAAATAAAATATGTGGTTTTATATGTTGGCATGATAGATTTATTGTGCCAACTAGGCCAATAGGAACATGCAGGAAGAGTTAAATCAGGTGGCAACTTGGTTGGAGGACGACCAAAATAAATAAAGACAGCCGGCATCCGATCTCCCTCTTGCTCCCTGGTGATCAGAATAGTGTACTGCTGCTTTAGTTAGTTCTCTGTCTCAACCTGGGTGCTACACTACCTGTGGGACAAGCCAACTTGTGGATCGTCTTGCTAGAGCTGGAGTCTCTCTTGAGACCTGCTTCACTACGCTGCTGGTGTGCACATTGCTTGAGCTTGAGGCTGGTGGCTCCTGTCATTGCTTGAATTCCAGATCTCATCAGGGCCTACTTGGCGAAGCTCCTGAGCTACTGACCGTTACTGACCCACCCTGTTGTTTGCTTCCTTGACCTTGGACCCGGCAGCCCATGCGAGTTGAAGGACTTCCAGTATACTAACTGATCCACGAATGTGAGTAGAACTGAGCTCTCAGTATTGTTGTGCGGACTAATTCGCTGTTATATTCCTACTCATTGCCTAAATCTAGCCTATTATATGTCTAATCATAAGTGCCCTGGTTTTGTTTCTTTAGAGAACCCTGCCTTGGCAAAACAGAACACTTTAGTAATCGACAGGATACCAAATTAAATGTTTCAGTAAATGTATGGCAAGCTGGAGGTGCTAACTCTTCAATGCCAAGATATTTCAATGGCAGATCCCTGACCAACTAACTGGAAGAGATCAGTATCTGTGCAAATTGCAAAGAAAAGTGACCCAATAGAATGTGGAAAAAAAGAATAATATCATTCGTATCATACTGATAACACAGCCCAACAACAACAAAAAATCCTTGGTGTTGTAGGTTTTAGGCCTGTTCTTGGGGTTATTTGGAATGCTGATTCAGAAAATTACATTAGTTAGACCTCATCAGCTCTAGTTTCTTACATGTAGTGCT